GTGTGTGTGTGTGTAGGTGTGTGTGTGTAGGTGTGGTTGTCGTCCTCGTTCCTGTTACACAGGAGTTTTGCAGGTCTGAAGCAAGTTTCCTCTGGTTTCTCAGTGAAATGGTTGAGTTTGTTTAATCAGTCTAAAGCAGCGCTCTCACTGCATCACGCCGTGACCTTTGACCCGTCTCAGGTGACCCCTGCTCTTTCCCTGGACCCCGCGCTCGTGTTTTCTGTGATTTATAGTGAAGCACATCAGGTTCCTCGGGCCTGTCAGGACTCGTCTGGCGCTCGGGGCTGGTTCTGACCAATCGGAGCGCGGGAGGCTCTGGCCACACCCCCACGAGCTGCATGTAAACACACGTCTGCGCTTCATCGCTGCTTCGATCTGCATTCGATATATATATGAATGCTTTGTAGCAATATATATATATATAAGATTGTGTTCTTTTTTGCAATTTCATTGCTAATTGTTTGATTGCAAATTAGTAACCTTACACACACATACCTGGAAACTGATTGGCTGATAAGAGTGCGATACACTAGACTGATTTTTATAAATATGACTGTTTTTGTGTCACAGAATGTAGTTTTAAGAGGTTTTGAGGCGAGAATGTACTTGTTTATCATTTAAATTTGCTTTGACATTTTCAAGAGCTGTGAGCTCCAGATGGTCAGCGGCCGGTCTGCGCTCATGAACCCGCAGAGAGAGCGCCTCACCTCGGCCAGATCTCCGGGAGTTTACCGCTGGCTCTGATGTCTCTGTAGTGGTTAAACATGAGATGTAATTCGTTGGTCTCGTTAATCTATTATTTGTTCCAGAGAAGGTAGTTTTGGCAAAACCTCATGTTTATGTAAATTCAATGCTGTATATCAGAGCGCTGCCTTTGTACTTTTGACTGAATTGCCTAGCAACTTTTTTGATGGCTGTTGTCGTATGTTAAATATTATTATTCTATAAATAATAGTATTTAATAATCAGTGTTGGGGGTAACGCATTACAAGTAACGTGAGTTACGTAATCAGATTACTTTTTTCAAGTAACTAGTACAGTAACGCATTACTTTTTAGTTTACAAGAGAATATCTGAGTTACTTTTTCAGATAAGTAACAAGTTACTTTGTTTCCAATGTATTGATTGACAGCTCTGGTGTTGCCATGGTGACAGAAATCAGAAGATGTTACTGTAGCTCTAAAATAAATGTATTATTCCTCAAAATGAATAAAAATAACGCAACTCAGAATATGACGCAAACCTGCAATAATTAAATGTTAAACAACACAAATATGCTTTATGTATTTAATCCCATTCTATTTGCTTCTGACCTTCGATGATGCAGTTCAAGCGTACTAATAAGCACAAATTACTCTAGACAAACATTTGACGAGCTGCGCAAAAAATCGCGCGAATATGAACGTGGTTTAGCGCAGCTCGTCAGTGAACAACGGCTCTGTGTAGTTAATGCTGCTCCATGTGAAAGCCCGCAGGTGATGGAGATTTACCGCTGATTACAGAACCGGCTTTCTGACAAGATGCACGTTAAATATTGCATGCGATTTATCGTGCAGCCCTACTTTTTTTTTATTGCTGAAGTGTGTTGAATTTCTTCTTCTGCATTCTACTGTACGGATGTAAATGTACTTTCCCGTCAGCCTGAGGCGCATTCATTTCACTTCTGGTGCGAAAGGCTTTTATATTTGCCAAAAATATAACTTTTTTATTTTAAAAACAAACAAGCAAGCCCTGCCCAGATTTAAAAAGTAATGCAAAAGTAACGTAACGCATTACTTTCCATAAAAAGTAACTAAGTACCATAATCAGTTACTTTTTTTATGGCGTAACGCAACATTGTAACGCATTACTTTTAAAAGTAACTTTCCCCAGCACTGGGAATAATAATGTTTAATGTTTAGTATTGAGAAACGGTGTGTGTGTTCGTGATGGTGATTGTAGTTACATTGTTCCACCATTAGATTGCGACAAGACTGTTTCTATGAGTTAAATATTGTATCAGTAAAATGTTGAGCCTGATTAAAGGTAAATATCAGTGTCTCTGTCTTTTATAAATTAGGTGTTTACTATTTACAAATATTAAAGTTCTTAAAGGGATAGCTCACCCTAAATTGTCATAATTTCCTGAACATCATGTCATTCCAAACCTGTACGAATTTCTTTCTTCTGTGGAACATAAAAGAATATATTTTTTATATTATATATAGTAGAAATCAAGGGTAACCAAAATGGTTCAAAATATATTTTTGTGTTCCTCAGAAGAAAGTAATTCATGCAGGTTTGGAACGACGTGAGGAAATGATGACCGCATTTATTAGAGGTAAATTTCCTGCAGTCTAGCAAAAGAAAAAAATATATGGTTGTACTGTCAAGTGCATTTCTATGTGACAAAAATGCAGTAGCATTTGCATTTGCTGTGAATTCAGTAACTAAATCATTTCATAGCCAAATTGGCCGGTGAGTGAAAAAGTTAATTTCAAACCCTGCTTACGACAAAGATATCGCTTTCCTCCGCAGATATTCAAACTAATGTTTATTGTGAAACGAGATTGATCTGAAGAATGAATGCTGTATCAGAACTGTTACAGCGAACTGTCAAACTGTTATTTAAACGCAATATCACACGAGTAGACGTGAGATACGGCTGTGTATCGGCACGCTTTGATTACCTACGGCCGAGCCGATATACAGCCGTATCTCACGTCTGCTTGTGTGATATTGCTTATATATATATATCTGTTCTTTGCTGTGTTGGTGGTTTTAACGTTTATGTTTGTCTTGTATTTCTGGTGTGGTCAAAGAGAATTTCAACCTTTGTTTGCAGTGACGTTGTAGTGTATTGTAGTGCAATATTGCGAATCATGTAGTGTTTTTAAGCTCAGTCCGAGCTACAAGTTGCCAAAATTTGTTGTATGTTAAACTTCAGTGTCCTTGTTTCTCTCTGCGTCTCAGGTCAGCTCAGCTGCATCTCGCTCCCGCGTCACGAGGAGGACTATCTGCAGAATGTGGTCGGGAGCGCCCCCTACATCCTCGTCCTGGGCCAGGACTGTTCGGCCCGATACCAGCTGCTCAACTGCCTGCTGGGAGAGAGGCTCCTCCCCCTGGGCTCGGAGGTGGGCGGGGCCTGTGGGCCGGAGGGCGGGGCCTGCAGGAGGAGGAAGCTGTGCTTCACGCACGGCCGTCAGACGCGCTTGAGCCTGGCGCTGCCGGGGCAGTATGAGCTGGTGCATCAGCTGGCGGCTCACTGCGGACGCTGGGACACGGTGCCATGCGAGGATCTGGAGATCCAGGAGTGCGAGGATCCCGCGCAGCGATTGGCCGAGCTGGAGGTCACGCTCCATCACGCGCTGCTGCAGGTAGGGCTGGGCAATTTGGCAAAAAAAACATTTTTTTTAAGCAAGAAGCCATGGTTTACAGTGAATTTATAACAACTAAGGGGGTTACTGCTTTTATAAAACGGTTATATACGTAGCAAGGTTTCACAGAATAAAGCAGAGCAAATAAAGAGTAATGATATTAATAAACACAGTATTCTTCCACCAAACAATGTAGCGCCTCAGAAACAGTTGTGGTTGCTACAAAGTGGTTGCCGAGCAACACACAAACGTAAACAAAGGTGTGTTACTTTGTAGCGTCATTTACAACAGCTTCGAACGCGGCTCAGCCAATCAGAGTCAAGCACCGGAACTCTCCGCTTTATAAAGCTAGTTTTAAAATGTAACTACGACATGATTCAAGTAACTTGTTCTTTATTAACCCTCTAGTTAAAGAAAATTCTATTCCGAGTGCAGCACACATGAAGCTGTCAACATGATGTAAATGTTAAACTGATCGCTTGTTAAGTAGGCCTATCTTTGCAGAAAGGATGCATGAACTACAACTACATCTTGTACAAACTTGTCTTACACATATCATATGTTCAGAAATAATAAAAATCCTAAGTCAAGGTAATTCAAATTCAGAATGACTGAAGGTGTAACAGCAGTAGAGTATTATTAACTATAAATGTTCTGTAAAAACAACAGCAGCTTTCAGTCTGTCACCGTGATGCAAACATGAAATATCAGACATACAGTAGCAGTTCTTCACAGGTTTTTTATTCGACTGCGCTGCTTTTCTATTGTTTTTCTGTGTAATCATGAACGTGTTTGACTGTTGCGCTCGCGTCTCTTGCAGCGTCTCATGAAACGGCAGGCTAAAAACACGCTGCTCAAGTTAAAAGAAGTTCACTCGCATCTTCTTGCATGTTTTACCTATTCCACTGCGCACGTCGCATCTTTATCAACACAAAAGCTCATTCTGTGTGAATGGCGGCTAGCGTTGAGCGCGTCACACGTGAGCGGTTAATCACGTGCGGTTAGATCGTTCTTTTCTCTTTACTGTTATCACCGGCATATTGTCAAAGTGTCTAATTCTAACACTTGGTCATATTTCTATTCAAAATCGCGATTCCTCGATTTCTAAAAAGTAAAATCGTGGCAAAACAATAAGTTCGAATTAATCGATAAAATCGGAAAAATCGCCCAGCCCTAGCTGCAGGTGTCGTTTTTCTCAAACACACCAAATACGATTTGTTTTTTGCAGGGACATCCATCAGCTTCTCGCCTCTCCTTTCCTGGGCCCTCGTTTATCAAGAGTGCATAGAAAAGTTTCTATATTTTGTCCTACGAATGTGTGCAAGTACAAAAAAGTCTGTGTTTATCATGCATTTATCGTGCACTCATTGTGCAAATGCTTAGCTTGAAATATGAAATCATTAATTGAGTATTTGCAGTTAAAGGATGCAGGACATATGCAGCGGCACTTTCTTTTCTACCACTAGATTCTCTGCGTAAGCATGCTCAGAGTTGTGCTTATATTTACACACATTCCTACGTATAAGTACGAGTTGGTAGATCCCACACTTTGCGTGAAACTGTTCCTACGCACACGTCTGTGCGTACACACTGTTGATAAATGAGGGCTGTGGTGTTTATGTAACCCTGATCTGTGGGTCTGGTGCACTTCACATGACCACCAGTGGAAAAAAGAGCTGCTATGGTGATGTGTGTGTCTCCATGGCGATGGGAAAACTGTGTCCCGGGAGCCTCCTGTAAATACTTGGTGGGTTCGGTCATGGCTGGTTTCCTTTTTGAATTGGGCTCGGTGTTTGGACAGGTTCAGATCTCTTAGATCAGACTCGGATTCTAATTAGTCTAATCCGACTCTAAACAAACGCTGTTAAACAATCAGTTTCAAATCGGTGTCATATCAGACTCCGATTGGATTTTAAATCAGGATAACACTACAAATAAGTCAAACCAAGATCTTGAATCAGTTTCAAATCAGTATTAGATCAGTCAAAAATCAGACTCAGTCATGAATCAGTTTATCACATTGGTTCAGATTCTGAACAGTGAATCACTCTCTGTCTGCTATCAAAATCAAATCAGAGTCAAATCAGCTTTGCGTCAGACTCGTTAGGTCTTAGATTGGTTGCAAATCAGACTCGGGTCTCTTTGGTCATGTCAGATCAGATTCAAATCAGACTCAGTTTTGGATCAGCTGTAAATCAAGCTTCAGTTTGTCTAAACACCCAGATCAGTTTGAGATTAAACCAGTCAGTTTCAGATTAGTGTCAAATCAGATTTGGATCAGTCATTGGTTTCAGATCTATCTTGAATCAGACTCGACCTCAGGTGAGACTCAAATCAGAGTTCATTTGCATCAGACTCATTAAGGTCTTCGATCGTCACAAATCATACTCCGTTTTGGTTTAGTTCCAAATTAAGAGCAGATTACTCTTAAAAAATACTCTGATCAGTTTGAAATCAGACCCCGATCAAACCTTGATTAGATTCAGATCTATCTTTAATCAGATTCAACCTCAGATGGGACTCAAATCAGAGTCAAATCGGTTTTGCGTCAGACTCATTAAAGTCTTGGAAAAGTCGGAAATCAGACTCCGTTTTGTATCGGTTGCAAAACAGACTCCACTTAGTATAAATACAGATCAGTCTGCTGTCAAACTCTGATCAGTTTTAGATGGTCATATCAGATTTAGATCTCGGATCTATTTTAGACCAGGATGAGACTACAAATAAGTCAAACCAAGATCTTGAATCGGTTTCAAATCAGTATTGGATCAGTCAGAAATCAGACTCCGTCAACAGCGTAAATCACTCTCAGTCTGCTGTCAAAATCATATCAGAGTCAAATCAGCTTTGCATCAGACTCGTACGGTCTTAGATTGGTTGCGAATCAGACTCATGTCTCTTTGATTCTATCTATCAGATTCAAATCAGACTCTGTGTTGGATCAGCTGCAAATCAGGCTTCAGTTTGTCTAAACCAATCAGTTTCAGATTAGTATCAAATCAGACTTAGATCAGTGTGAGATCAGACTCTGATCCAACTGGTTTCAGATCTATCTTAAATCAGGCTCAACCTCAGATGGGACTCAAATCAGAGTCAAATACCATCAGACTCATTAAGGTCTTGGATTGGTCACGCATCAGACAGAGTTTTGGTTCAGTTCCAAATCAGACTCAGATTACTCTAAAAACAAACCTAGATTAGTTTCAGATCGGTCTTGAACCAGATTCAACCTCAGAGGTGACTCATATGACAATTCAGTTTTGCATCAGACTCATTGAAGTCTTGGATCGGTCACAAATCAGACTCAGTTTTGGATCAGCTGATAATCAGACTCCACTTAGACTAAAAACAGATCAGTCTGTTATTAAACTGATCAGTTTCAGATCAGTGTCAAATCTTATCTGATTCTGATCCAACTGTGGATCCTATTGGTTTTGGAACTATTTTTAATCAGACTCAGCCTTGGATGGCACTCAAATCAGTTTAGCATCAGACACATTAAGGTTTTGGGCTGGTCGCAAATCAGAATGGGATCAGTCTCAGATCAGACTCCATTTTAGATCAGTTGCAAATCAGTTTCCAGTCAGTCTGAAATCACTTGGATCAGTCTGTTATCAAAAGCTGATCAGTTTGAGATCAGACTCTGACCCAACTCTGATTAATTTCAGATCTGTCTTGAATCAGACTCAACCTCAGGTGAGACTCAAATCAGTTTTGCTTTCAGTCTTAAATCAGACTCGTTTTAGCTAAGTTGATCAGTTTGGTATCAGTTCAGATCAAATTTGGTTTGAATTTGTCTTGAATCAGACTCAACCCCATATGGGACTGAAATCAGAGTCAAACCAGTTTCACGTCAGACTCATTAAGATCTCGGATTGGTTGCAAATCAAGACTCTGATCTCTTCAAAGTCAGATCAGCCTCAAATCAGACTCTGGGACTGAAATCAGAGTCAAATCAATTTCTCATCAGACTCATTAAGGTCTTGGATTGGTTGCAAATCGGTGCATTTTACATCCGTTACAAATCAGACTCCAGTTAGTCTAAAATACTCAGATCAGTTTCAGATCAATGTCAAATCATAGATTCAATTAAGATCAGACTCGTTTTTAGACTGTCTTGAATCAAACTCTGACGCAGGTCACACTTCGTCAAATCAAATTCTCAGATCACACTCAATCTAAGATCAGTTCCAAATCAGACTCTAAACACTCAGATTAGTCTGGTATCACACTCTGATCAGTTTCAGATCAGTCAACTCCGACTCAGAACAGTGTGAGATCAGACTCTGATCAGACTTAAATTGTTTTCAGATATGCTTGAATCAGACTCAACCCCATATGGGACTCAAATCAGAGTCAAACCAGTTTCGCATCAGACTCATTAAGGTCTTGAATTGGTTCCAGATCAGACTCCGATCTCTTCAGTCAAAGTAGGGATGTAATGGTATGAAAATATCTTATCATGATTATAGTGACCAAAATTATCACGGTTATCAGTATTATCACGGTATTGTTCAAATGTGCTGGAAATGTTCAAAAAGTACTGACACATAAATCACTTCAAGTTTTATATTCAAAATCAACAAACGACAAATAAAATGACTTTTTGTTTACATAATCACTAAAACAATAACATTACCAATGATGTCCATATTTTAAATCTAATAGCTATAAAAATAATATAATTTTTATTTAATAGCATGTTCAAATATCTCATGTAAATGTTCAAAAAAAGCTTTGAAAAAGTTTCATAAAAAGGTAAACCTCACATTTCAGCCTTTAAATAAAGAAAAGGGTTAAGTCAAAATGATAATTGATTGATACATGTTTATATGTATTTTATCTGCTCCATAAATAATTCTAGATAACTTATCCGAATTGTTTAAATGTGTAGAATCCTCATAAGCTTGTTATTCATCAACTGGTCATAAATCACAGCAGGGCATGCAAATCCGGTCTGTTTTTAGTCCAGACAGAAGCTGCACACAGACTGAATGTGAATGTGTGTCTCTGTAAATCCACTCGCTGACAGCAGGTGGCGCTTCTGGAGCAGCTGAATTACAGCTGTTTCTCGTAACCTCCTGCACAAAGCAGCATTGTGATTAAAACACTACTTTATTAGGTATTACATGGAGCGAAGATGAAAACAAAATGCCATCAAATCTTTTCTGAAGTCAGTCAGGGCCTTCAGAGGTACATTCATATAATTAATTCATTCATCTATTAATTTATATAATAATTCCCTTACCACTCTTTTAAAACCTCGTAGCTTTTCCATCGTGTTTTCACACTAAACGAAACCACTCTGCTGCTGTGTGCACCCGAGACCGTTATTTAAACTCTGCTTTATGCTGGATAGTATTTATTTATCCTCAGTTGTTCAAATCGCGGTAATCGGATAATAATTAAAAATATGAATAATAATATAATAATTAAAATATGAAACAGTAATACTAACCGTGGGGAATTTTATCATGGTTTATCGTCAAACCGGTAATAGTTACATCCCTAAGTCAAAGTCAGATCAGCCTCAAATCAGACTCGGATCTCTTCAAAGTCAGATCAGCCTCAAATCAGACTCAGATCAGTGTGAGGTCAGACTAAAATTGGTTTCAGATCTGTTTTCAATCAGACTCAACCCCATATGGGACTGAAATCAGAGTCAAACCAGTTTCGCATCAGACTCATTAAGGTCTTGGATTGGTTGCAAATCAAGACTCCGATCTCTTCAAAGTCAGATCAGCCTCAAATCAGACTCAGATCTCTTCAAAGTCAGATCAGCCTCAAATCAGACTCAGATATCCCCAAAGTCAGATCAGCCTCAAATCAGACTCAGATCTCTTCAAAGTCAGATCAGCCTCAAATCAGACTCAGATATCCCCAAAGTCAGATCAGCCTCAAATCAGACTCAGATCTCTTCAAAGTCAAATCAGCCTCAATGTTGGGCCAGTTGCAGATCAGACTCCAGTTAATCTAAAACACTCAGATCAGTTTCAGACCAGACTCCGATCCAGACTGGTTTCAGATGAGTCTTGAATCAAACTCCGATGGAGGTCAGACTCCGGTCAGATCAGACTCTCACAGCATGTTTTTCTGCATGATTCTCTCTTGTGGTTTAAAGCGTGTCGCTGTGTTTGTTCGCTGATGTTTGCCATCGCACACATCTGCTAGAATCGCGTCTGCTCTCAAATGAACCCCGGCTGTTTTCGGTCCACGCACACTCACGTTAGCGCAGAGACGTTAATTAGCGCTGGCGGCGGGCAGTGAGATTCCTGCTAGAGCACACACACGTTAGCATGTTTGATGTGTTTGAATCAGATGTTTGTTGGGCTCCGCCGGCCGTGTTTGTTCCAGAGAGACTCGAGTGCTCTATGGGTCTTGTGTCAGAGACGGCGCTGACTGACTCTATTGTGCTCGTGTGCTAGCGCTCTTCATTCTTGCTCTGACGTGCCCGCTGCGGATTAATCAGTTGAACTCTGACCCGCCGTGTCTAATATTTCTTGAACGGATTCCCAGAGGAACACGCTGCTTAATCAGGAGAAACGCCTCTCACCTACACAAGCCTGGTTTCACACTGCGTTCCACGCTCCAGGCCAAGCCAAAATAAATCAGACATGTCTGTAATTAATATACTGTTTTTCTAATATGCAACAGCATATTGATAAATCTCTAACCTTTTATCCAGTAACCAAAAGTGTCTGGAAATATTGTGTATATTAACAGGTTTACAAGCTAATTAAAAACACATACTTTTTTGCAGTTTTAATGCAAATTGTTTGCACTGTTGTCATTTATTTTGTCATAATTGAAAGGATATTTTCTTCATTCGTCAATATTTTGTCATGTCATGCATTCATCGACATACAGTACATTGTTTTAATTGTAGAGAATACTGAGCAGTTAAATAACCAAACATTCAAGCATATTTTACTATATATATTTTTGTATTTTTGTTAATATATTTTTATATAGTTTTTAAAATGTATCAAAAATAAAAACAACGTGAAAATATCATATTCATTATGTTTAGGCATTTTTATGCTAATTTTAGTTGACAAATTATGTAATTGATCTAGTACTAAAATGACCAAATTTAATTGACCAGCTATTAAAATGTAATTTTAATCAGGAGGTGAAGATCATGGTGCTCCCGTGCCGCGGCGTGCAGCCGGTGGAGGAGGCTCTGGAGGACTGCAAGCGCGGCATCCTTCCCATCATCCTCTACGCCGTCAGTAAAGACGCGCTGAGCGCCGAGCAGGTGAGCGACCTACAGAAGGTGCGCGAGACGCTGCCGTTCCCCGTCTGCTTCGTCTGGGCCCCTAGCGGCCCCTCGGACCCCGGGGCCCTCCACAGGCAGCTGCTGTCCCTGGAGCTGATCGGCGCAGCGGCGGGGAGCTGCGCCTGCGGGGCTCCTGCGCAGACGCAGAGCATTCTGGGAGAGAGTCTGGAGCGTCTGCAGCGTGTGCTGGGGCCCTTCACTCGACAGCTGCTGCAGAACCAACAGGTGGAGGCCACGACGCTGCTGAACGCCGTCCAATGCCGCTACCTCGACCTCTTCATCAACCAGGTGACCACAGAATCCTCTGCCCAGCTACATAATGCACCTTACGTATGAGACTTAAAGGGATAGTTACCAGGGCTGGGACAATACATCGATGCATCGCGAATCGAGAAATGATTCTGCGTCGATTCTGAGATGGCGCTGCATGCTTTAGAAACATCTGTATTCTGCTTGCTCCCAGTTCCCGACACACGCACCACTTGAACATAAAATAATCATTCACACAGTTTGAAAAGGTTGTAGGGAGTTACAAGGTGGGCTGTGTTTACATTAATCTCATAATAGCATAAAAGCCAAGTAGATTTAACCACTTACATGACTCACAAGGGCTCTTCTTCGAGAGCATTTGAGCGTGCGGTTAAAAACTAGCTTAGAGCGCCATCTACTGTTAAAAACTAAGCTCAGAATCGATTCCAGACAGAATCGCGATGCATTCCGAAAATCTCAGAATCGATCCACGAATCGCGACGCATCGATTTATCATCCCAGCCCTAATAGTTCACCCAAGAATGAAACTCACCCTCGTGTCGTTCCAAACCCGTAAGACCTCCGTTCATCTCCAGAACACAAATTAAGATATTTTTGATGTATACAGCTCTCATAGACAGCAAGGTTACTAACACGATCAAGGCTCGGAAACGTAGCAAGGAGATCGTTAAAATAGTCATTGGAGAGTATCCGCTGGACGTAAACAATGTATGCTGTTCTGTGTCAGCCACGCCAATCGGATGCATTGTTTATGTTCGGATCAAAGCGCAAACAACGTAGAAAACGTATCCGCGTTCAGTGGATACTCTCCAAAACGGCGCTCTAGGGTGACGCGGAGGAGGTGAATCGGTGATTAAAGTCGTTATTCTTGTTTTCTTTTGCGCACAAAAAGTACACTTGTAGCTTCGTAAAATTAAGGTTGAACCACTGATGTCACAGGGATTATTTTAACGATGTCCATACTGCGTTTCTGTGCCTTGAACCTGGTAGTTACCTTGCTGTCTATGGGTTACTACATGATGGTTGAAATCACGCAAATGGCCTTAAGATATCATCTAATAGAGAATTTGAGATTGCTCATGCTGTCATAAACAGTTGTGATGTAATTATATAATTATCAATGTTGAAAACATTGTCGTGCTGCACAATATTTTTGTGGAAACAATGATACCACTCAAACATTTGTATAAGATTTAAAAGAGAGAGAGAAATTAATATCTTTATTAATCATGCATGAAAGTGATAAAAAGTGAGTGGACACGTTTCGAATTATTTCTGTTTAATAAATGCATTAACAAATTGAATTAATATATTTGATAAATGCTGTTCGTTAAACTTTATATTTAACAAAAAATCCTGAAAAATAAAGTGCATCACCATTTCCGCACAAAATATGAAGCAGCAAAATCGTTTTCAACATTGATAATAATCAGAAATGTTTCTTGAGCAGCAAATACATTGTAATGATTTCTAAAAGATCGTGTGACACTGAAGACCGGAGTAATGATGAAGAAAATTCTGCTTTGCATCACAGGAATAACATTGCATTTTATAATATATTAAAATTGAAAATAATAATATTTCACAATATTGCTGTTTTATTTACTTTAATCACATAAATTCAGCCTTGATGATTAGAAGATATTTATTTCAAAATCATTAATAATTGTAATGTTTCCAAACCTTTGGCAGGTGCTTGCTGTGGAACCAAATAAATGAGAAACAAATGCTTAAATAAACGTCCAAAGTTTCCAACTTCTACATTTTTACTGTATTTCTGATCACATAAATGCAGCATTAATGAGCAGAAGAGACTTCTTTCAGAAACATCTGAATTATTCCACACTTTTGACCACTAATGTAGCTGTTGCTGGATTTTAATACGCATAAATTACATCAGTTAATGTCTTTCAGTTTGTATGATAATATCACAAGATATGTGAAATTAAATGTCATTGTTTTTCTTTGTGTTTCAATTACAGATACAGCTTTTGATTTAAAATAAATGTATTAGAAAATACAATAAAAGTAAATAATATTATATATATATATATAAATAGATAATATAATATAATAAATTATCAATAAAATAAGAATAAGTTTTTAGTGTGCTAAAAATAAGTAATAAAAACTAAATTGCCAGTCATTTAAATAAAAATAAAAAAATGTAATTTAGTTATCTTCATCATTCTAGTGATATTTTACAATGAGGTTTCATTAGTTAACTGCATTAACATGAACTAATAATGAGCAATATTTCACAGCATTTAAATCTGAATCTGTTAACATGAATTAATGCAACTTACATGAAATTGTATTTTTACTAGTGCTGTCAAACGATTAATCGCCGTTAATCATCCAAAATCCAACTATAATCCAAAATAAAAGTTTTTGTTTGCATACTATATGTGTGTGTACTGTGTGCATTTATTATGTATATATAAAGACACACACATACAGCATATATTTTGAAAATATTTACATGTATATTTACATTATATTAAATTATATGAACGTTAACGAACGTTGTGTTTCTTGATATTACTTTGATGTTTTCAGTGTTTGCTCGTGTGAATGTGTTCTCGTTCAGTCCCGTGTTGTCGAGACAGAGGTTCTCGTGAACGAAGCTGCGTTTTGTCGCGCAGGCGTTCGACATGCAGAGGGATCTTCAGATCACGCCGCGGCGGCTGGAGTACACTCGAGAGAAGGAGGGCGAGCTCTTCAGCTCTCTGATGGCCATCGCCAACCGCAAGCAGGAGGAGATGAAGGACATGATCGTGGAGACGCTGAGCGGCATGAAGGAGCAGCTGCTGGAGGACGCCGCCAACCTGCACTTCACCGGTCAGAATACAGATTATAGTGATGATCACTAGGGCTGGGGAAAACAGATATGGAACGATATGGATTCTTAAATCCGAAGAATCGATTAGTCTGTCCTGTTTTCATTTAGTGGACGGAACGTTGAAGGGCACTTCCCATGCAATATATCACAATAAGCATTGTGCTTTCGTACTTTTAATATGAAACACAGTCTCAGATTTCAAATTATGTTCATTGTATTGCAGTATTCAAACAATAAATGTCGTTTTGGCACTGTTTAATGTGGAGTGATCGCTGTAGCGCCTCAGTGAACTGATCCTCTCCTCCGCTTTATTACTAGTTATAGCACAAAATAAACATGACTAAACATCCGAAGGTAAGTTAAAAGAAAGAGCACAACTTTACAATCTGTATCCCGTCTCGTGTAATCGCTCAATCAGTGTTTCAGCCACGCAAAGACGTCACGGCTTTGTAAACAATATGTCACTTAACGTCACAGAAACAAAAATATAAGTCGTTAGTCAGCTAGAGAAATAAACCGTAGAGAGGGGCATTTATGCACCATATAATATATACATTATAACTTTTACTGTTCTTCAACGTTTAATTTGTTTATTATGACAGCCTCCGTTTAAATGGTTATATTTAAATTAGAAATATTATATTAATATTATTATAATAGTAAAGTAGAAATATTATTATGTAATTGTAACTTTTATTCTAAAAACTTCATTAAGTGTAATTTAAGCAGTTGTATAGCCTGTATAGTATTCAGTATTATAATAATGTAGTACCAACTCTCATGAATATTTTACAGCATTCGTTTAGAGAATTTTTTTCCTTGAGAAAATTTGGCATGTGTGCTTGCTTGATATATATCCAAAATAATCGATATCGAATCGAATCGTGAAATTTGTGTCAAAACCCAGCCCTAATGATCACGGTTTTCAGTATTATCACAGTGTTGTTCAAATGCGCTGGAAATTTTCTAAAAGTACTGACACATAAATCACTTCACCACAATTTTATATTTAAAATCAACAAACAACAAATAAAATTACTTTTTGTTTGCATAATCTCTAAAACAATAAAATTATCAATGATGTTCGGATTTTAAATGACAACATGACTGACTACAGTTTATCTAATAGTAGGGATGGGCGATATGGGCTTAAAAATATATCACGATACTTTCTGGTATTTATTGCGATAACGATATCAATGACGATAATTCAGGGAATCCTGCTTCTTTAGAGAAAAGTATTATCTTTCCTATTTGTACCCAAAATAGTGTATAACGCAATGTAATGACGGTTTAATTCATACTGGAAGCCGGAGGGCGCTCTTGAGCAGAAACTCCACATGCATCGCAGAAGTAATAGCACTGACGACGCTCCAGGAAATCCCTAATGTGTGTGTGTGTGTGTGTGTGAGAGAGAGAGAGAGAGAGAGAGAGAGAGAGA